TAATAACTGCATTAAAGAGTCACTTAGAGTCCCTCTAAGTCATGTAAAGGACTCAGGACAGTGCCTGTACATAGCAAATGCTCAATTAATGCTTTGTTGAAAAAATTTTTCAGCCATTTTTCACAAGCAGGCAAGAGGTTGATTTCACAGTTTCATTAGCACTATCAGCATAGTGCTAATAATATCAAGATCATATGCTGCATCGCCATAACTGTTGTTTCATTTTATTGTATTCATATATACCCAAATGTGTAGTTACACTGATTGGTATCATAAATTAAGAGTAATTTCACAATACATCATTTCTTTTAATTTCCCTTATTTAAAGAAACATACTCAGAATCAGTAAGTGACTTGTGCAAGGGCACAGTTAGTAAGTAGTTCAGGATACCAACCCTGGCTTTTTGATATGTGGCCTAATGTTCCTTCCAGAAAACTAAGATCATGGCATCTGGTCCCATCACTTCATGGCAAATATATGGGGAAACAGTGGAAACAGTGTCAGACTTTATTTTTTGGGGCTCCAAAATCACTGCAGATGGTGATTGCAGCCATGAAATTAAAAGACGCTTGCTCCTAGGAAGAAAAGTTATGACCAACCTAGACAGCATATTAAAAAGAAGACACATCACATTGCCAACAAATGTCCATCTAGTTAAAGCTTTGGTTTTTTCCAGTAGTCATGTATGGATGTGAGAATTGGACTATAAAGAAAGCTGAGTGCCAAAGAATTGATTCTTTTGAACTGTGGTGTTGAAGACTCTTGAGAGTCCCTTGGACTACAAGGAGATGAAACCAGTCCATCCTAAAGGAAATCAGTCCTGAATATTCATTGGAAGGACTGATGCTGAAGTTGAAACTCAAATACTTTGGCTACCTGTTGCAATGAACTGAGTCATTTGAAAAGACCCTGATGCTGGGAAAGATTGAGGGCAGGCGGAGAAGGGGATGACAGAGGATGAGATGGTTAGATGGCATCACCAACTCAATGGACATGAATTTGAGTAAACTCTGGGAGTTGGTGATGGACAGGGAGGCCTGGCATGCTGCAGTCCATGAGGTCACAAAGAGTCAGACATGACTGAGTGACTGAACTGAACTGTTCCTTCCATTACACCCTAACTAGTTATAAGAAAAATCAGCTAAGAGAATGAGTAGGCCAAAAAAATTTCTTACATATTTTAAGGCAATTTAAGAAATCATTTATTATTAAGAAATTATTCTTATTACTACTATTTATTAAGAGACTATCTTAAAGCAATTTAAGAAATTTAGGAAATCTGTGGCTCAGATCATGAACTCCTTATTGCAAAATTCACACTTCAAGTGAAGAAAGTAGGGGAAATGACTAGACCATTCAGGTCCAGTATGACCTGAATCAAATCCTTTATGATTATAGAGTGGAAGTGACAAATAGATTCAAGGGATTAGATCTGACAGACAGAGTGCCTAAAGAACTATGGGCGGAGGTTCGTAACATTGTTTAGGAGGCCGTGATCAAAACCCTCCACAAGAAGAAATTCAAAAAAGGCAAAATGGTTGTCTGAGGAGGCCTCACAAATACCGAAGCAAAGAAGAGAAGCAAAAGGCAAAGGAGAAAAGGAAAAATATACCCATTTGAATTCAGAATTCCAAAGAATAGCAAGGAGAAATAATAAAGTTTTCCTAAGTGAACAATGCAAAGAAATAGAGGAAAACAATAGAATGGGAAAGGCTAGAGATCTCTTTAAGAAAATTAGAGATACCAAGGGAATATTTCATGCAAAAATGGGCACAAAAAAGGACAGAAATGCTATGGATCTAACAGAAGCAGAAGATATTAAAAAGAGGTGGCAAGAATACACTGAAGAACTATATATTAAAAAAGATCTTAATGACCCAGATAACCATGATGGTGTGATCACTCACCTAGAGCCAGACATGTTGGTGTGCAAAGTCAAGCAGGCCTTAGGAAGCATCACTATGAACAAAGCTAGTAGAGGTGATGGAATTCCAGCTGAGCTATTTCAAATTCTAAAACATGATGCTGTTAAAGTGCTGCACTCAATATGCCAGCAAATTTGGAAAACTCAGCAGTGACCACAGGACTGGAAAGGTCAATGTTCATTCAAATCCCAAAGAAAGGCAATGCCAAAGAATGCTCAAACTACTGCATAATTGCACTCATCTCACACACTAGCAAAGTAAAGCTCAAAATTCTCTAAGCTAGGCTTCAACAGTATGTAAACTGAGAACTTCCAGATGTTCAAGCTGGATTTAGAAAAGGCAGAGGAACCAGAAATCAAATTGCCAACATCTGCTGGATTAAAGAAAAAACAAGGGAATTCCAGAAAAACATCTACTTCTTCATTGACTACGCTAAAGCCTTTTGACTTTGTGGATAACAAAAAACTGTGGAAAATTCTTATTGAGATGGGAATACCAGACTACGTTACCTGCCTCCTGAGAAATCTGTATGCAGGTCAAGAAGCAACAGTTAAAACTGGACATGGAACAAAATACTGGTTCCAAAATGGGAAAGGAGTGTGTCAAGGCTGTATACTGTCACCTTGCTTATTTAACTTTTATGCAGAGTACATCATGTGAAATGCCAGGCTGGATGAAGCACAAGCTGGAATCAAGATTTCTGGGAGAAATATCAATAATCTCAGACATGCAGATGATACCACTCTAATGGCAGAAAGCAAAGAGGAACTAAAGAGCCTCTTGATGAAAGTGAAAGAGGAGAGTGAAAAAGCCAGCTGAAAACTCAACATTCAAAAAATGAAGATCATGGCATCTGGTCCCATCACCTCATGGCAAATAGAGGGAGAAACAATGGAAACAGTGTCAGACTTTATCTTCTTGTGCTCCAAAATCACTGCAGATGCTGACTGCAGCCATGAAATTAAAAGACGCTTTCTCCTTGGAAGAAAAGTTATGACCAACCTAGACAGCATATTAAAAAGCAGAGACGTTACTTTACTGACAAAGGTCCGTCCAGTCAAAGCTATGGTTTTTCCAGTAGTCATGTATGGATGTCAGAGTTGGACTATAAAGAAAGCTGAGCACTGATGAATTGATGCTTTTGAACTGTGGTGTTGGAGAAGATTCTTGACAGTCCCTTGGACTGCAAGGAGATCCAACCAGTAAATCCTAAAGGAAATCAGTCCTGAATATTCATTGGAAGGACTGATGCTGAAGCTGAAACTCCAATACTTTGGCCACCTGATGCAAAGAACTGACTCACTGAAAAAGACCCTGATGCTGGGAAAGATAGAAGGCAAGAGGAAAAGGGATGACAGAGGATGAGACAGTTGGATGGCATCACCGACTCGATGGATATGAGTTTGAGTAAGATCCGGGAGTTGGTGATGGACAGGGAAGCCTGGTGTACTGCAGTCCAAGGGGGTCACAGAGTCGGACACAACTGAGCAATTGAACTGAACTGAAGAAATCATTTAGATTCTATGTTTTTGTATAATCAAGCATTAAAAATTAACAAATTATTAGGATGGCATTATAATGGTTTACTTGGATATAAAGTAACACTGGTAGTGCTAAAAACAAATCCACTCATTCGGTGAGTATTTACTGAGCCTCTGCTACTTACTTGGCACCAGGCTAGGTACTAGGGATACAATAATATTTAAATCAAATATGACAGAGTCCAGGCCATCACAGAACTTAGTCTCATGGTAAAAGAAAATTAAAGACATAAATAAAAGCACAGAATGCTGCTGGAGCTGTTGCCAGACAGTTACAATCATACATCAATAATTTACAATAATTAGGATAATGATTATTTTCTGGATATCTGGAGACTTTGTTTAATAAAGTTATTCATGAGTACCATGTGATCCTCTTCCAGTTAACCTACCAACCCCTTGACCTCACTGCAACTGTAAAACCTACCAATAAAAAGCTTGGAATTAATGGAAAAAAAAAAGCTTGGAATTAGTTTCATTCATTAACTTTTGAATTCCTAGTCTGATCTTTTCTCTTCACAAAGTTTTATTTTTATTATAAATTCATTTAAATACATGGCATTAAGTCCTTACACTCTTTCACTCATCTCAATTTAAATACTCATCCCAATTTAAAGCCAGAAATATTTTTTTAAAATTAAACTTCCATTGTTTAACAGTTTCTGAAGTAGAGAATAACACATGGAGATTATTTATTTCTAAAACTACACATGGTAAAATCTACTTTTTCACCACCAGAGTGAAATAAAATATTATATTCTAATGGACTGAGTGAGCACAAGGTGACAAATGAGGCACACCGAGGGCAGTGTGCCTCCGGATGGATGAGGTAGGAGTCCAGATTCCTCCACTGCACCGCTGACGACTTCATACCTAACAGGGCAAAAGCAACCTGTGTGTGACTTACGGGGACTCCCGAAGACTCTCATCGGAAGAGCCACATATACCTAATAATTTATTTGTTACATCTTCTTATTTATCAATATGAAGTAAATTTTATTTAACCAGAAGTCTGCCCAAATGTGACACTCACTAAATTAAGAGAAAGATTGAGATTATGGAGTAAATTCAACAGAATTTCTGAAAACATTTTATTCATATTTCATTTTCAGTCAAATAGTCAAAGATTTTGAAATCTATAAGGCCATCTGTCTCAAGTTCAAAAATTTTAATATTATCTGGAAAACTATTTTTGAAAAGTGATTACTGAAGAACATTTCAACACATAGTGATGAAATGCACAGTTTTTAAATTTTACATAAAACAGTTAAATACATATAACACTGAAAATTCTTTATTTAAAAACACTAAGTTATTAAAATGAGTAAAAACAACATAGTAAAATTAGATTTTTTGCAAAACTCACTACTTCAAAGAAAACATACAATGACATGGATCATAATATATACAAAACAGGAAATAAATCATCATCTGTCATTGATGGGGAGATTTGCATGCTTTCAAAATACTCATAATTTTAAGTCACACAAAATGTTGCTCAGAGGGAATGCTTCTTTTATATTTAAAGTCTCTTTAGAGGCGTTTTAAATTCCGCTTACTCTGGGCACTTCCTGGAAGAACATCTTTTCTATTTCTTGGCTTTGCTGCTCCTCTACTACATTCTTCAGACCCATGATAAGCACACAAACACAGCACACAAAAGTCAAAGCCACAGGCTGCGCGGCTACACAGCCCCCTTTTCTTATAAGGCTGGTACTTAGCAGGGGACTGGCACCTTGGGCAAGGTTTTAACGCTTCATCAATAAAAAGTGTTTTGGCAACCTGCAGTAAAAGCACACACACTAAATCTTCCATTTTCGCATAGAGGACAGCTTTATTTCAAACTCTGTAAATATTTACGTCTAATAACTTATGATAAATACTCACCTTGACATATTCTTCCTGTTTACTACTTAAGTGAGTAACAGAAGAGCTTGCTATAGGTGTCAAAACTTCTCCCCAAGGAGAAAATGTTGAAGCTTGTTCTTTCTGAAAACCTGGTGTCCTAGCCTGTGCTTGCACACACCTTAAAGCTGATCGATTTAAGAGATGGAGCCGAGTGGCGGCATCCTCAACATTTAATATAGCCCCCTGTGGTAAAAGACAAGAGGGGTCAACACTGTCATATCAAAAGTTCCAGAAGAGCTTTCAGATGCACATGTCATGTTTGGAAGTGGTTTCTGCACCACTAGAATTTTCTCCCTAAACCATTCCTTTTTAGAGAAGAAAAAAAAAAATTATCTAGCATTTAAAAGTCAAAGAAAAATACAAAGTTGAAACAATAAATGCTAGCTTTAAGTTTGCATCATTGGTTATTTTTCTGTTTAACTCATGAGTTTGCAAACTTTTCCTGGAAAGGACCAGATAGTTGCAAGCTAGTCAACTGTCATTTTAGCAAACACAGCTACAGAGATATGTAAATGAAGGGACAGGGCTGTTCCAATAAAACTTATTATAAAAACACAGGTGATGGACAGGATTTGGCCCACAGATCAGAGTTTATCAAGTCTCCTTTTAAGCCAAGGTGTAAGAGGAGGTAAATTTTTTCAAAATCTGCTATGGGACATCATGGAATTCTGTAAAGATTTCTTACTTCAGCCACATGTCAGAAAATTAATGGGCCTAGTTAGACCATGAAACTCAATTTGTTTGATTGGCTTTTACAAATACCAAATACTTGCAAAACTTGATTCATTTTTACACTTGAGTTTAAACAGCTTTGATATTTTAAAAGGAGAAAAAAATGTCTCTTATTTGAGCTGGATTTCCACATGACTCAAATAGTTAGCCAAGAAATATTTTCAGTGAATAATCCTTATAGTCTTGTATTTTGTTAAGCTTAGAAATAAGAAAAAACATTGTAGGTTTTTTTTTTTTAAACACATTGGCATTCTTAACTAATTATTAAAATAAAATGTACTACTGGTGAATTTCCTGAGTGTCCAACTATAATTGTGTTTTCTTTCCCTTGACAGTCTCCCTTTGCCAGAATTGTTTCCTAAAGAGGGAAGAGGTAAAACCCAAGAAATGATAGTAGGATAAGTATAGGAATGAAGCTAGCTGGCCATGGATTATGCAATTGACAGCTTAACAACATTGGCATATGTGTAATGGATGAATACTGGTTTTTAGAAATTAGAATGAATACAGTTGAACTTACTCAAGGATTCAGTACGTCTTATGTTACATCCTATAAATGATTTGCCTAGGCTAGAAGCATATGACACAAGAGTACTCTAAAAGAAAACACCCATTGGATTTCCATGCAGTTGGCAAACACAATGATGATGCATGTACCAAAAAATGAGTAGAGATATATTGTTAAAGCAAATTTCAGCCATAGAAGAACATTCATTCATTTAACAAAGATTTCATCTAATAGGTACCAAGTGAATAGAACAGTCTAACCCCTATCCTCCCAGAGCTTAAAATGTGGGCTACTACCTCTGAACAGTGTAAGGTCTAGTAGTCAACAAAGGCAAATATTCGTGAGTATCAACATTTTTCAAAATACAGGCACCATTACCATACTAGAAAATATTTAAATGTGAAAGGGGAGTCTCTTATTGTTGTTCATTTCCATGATTATAAGTAAACAGTAAAGACTACTGTAAATTAAGAAATTTGATGGAAATAGTGTAATATTCCAATTTTATGGTCATTCTCACTGCTGCAAGGCAAACAGATAAAATGAGATCCTATTACACGTAACTGGTGCATGTGCCTTTTATTTTTCACATGTAAGGATCTTTCAGTGACACTATACACATGTGAGGAAAACCATCTAACAACTTTGTTTTATAATTCTTCTGTTTGGGTTAATGACATACATTAGGATAGTGTGGGTAGAAAGCAGCCAGTTCTTTCGGGAACAAGAGGGCAAAGGGCATCTGGAATGACGTCTCTGAAGAAAAGAAGGAACAGGTAGAATACCTGATTTATTCAGACTTACACAGAGGAGAGTTCCAGTTCTGGCGGATGGTGAGTCAGGCATCTGTATAGAGAAACACTAAAAAGAAAGAAAGAGCAAGAGAGAGAGAAGGAGAAAGAGAGAGAAAGGGAAAGAGAGGAAAAAGAAAGAAACTGGGCAATTATTAACTTATTAACTGTGAGGGTAAAAGTTATATAAGAAAAAAGGTGTAATAGGTATAACCATACTGTACTATACATTATGGCTGTCAAAAAGTCATAATAATCTCAACACAGTCTTAATAATGTCAGCACCTAATCCTGATTCACTAATGATGGTGTAATTACATTCATAAACTAGGAGAAAAGACTTCAGAAGAAGAGCCAGGTAGACAGGTAGTAGTGAGAGGTTAGAGAACTAACCTAAAAAAACTAAATAAGAGAAAAAACTAAAAAATTGAACTATTTTTTTAGAGAAAAAACTAAATAAGCAATAGCAGTGAAGACATGCCATTCAGAAATATGCAGGTGAATATCAAAAGGAAAAAGAACTAGAGAGTTTAAACTGATTGCCTTGATGAGACAAGAATCAAGAATAGGAAGGAAGGAAAATACGTGTTTTGTTATAAATTTCAAAGTCCAATTTGATGTTTTAAACCATGTACTTGTTTTTACTTTCTAAAAAGTTTAAAGCAAATCAAAATAAGGGGAAAAACTCAAGTAAGGAAAAAAATAGAGTTCTTTAGGAAACCAAGTTTTTTAAAAAAGTGGTAGCCAGGATATAAAGTAGAATACTTTATCTAGAATTATCCAAAGGCTTGCCAATTCAACCACATGTTTCTTTCACATAGAATGTAAGGATGCATGGAGCTAAAAGCTTAATATGAATAGGTACTTGCTTAAAAATTCGTTTTTCGGTCTGTCCTTAGCAGCAGGATGCCACTTGAAAAAGATATGTTAAGAAGGCAATTAATATCTTTAATATTATAAGCTCCCAGAGCCAGCAGCTGCAGCAGTAAATAGCTTGTGAAGGATTATCATAGGTGAGAAGATAAAATTTGTCTTCAAATAAAATAGAAATTCAATACTTTAGTTAACAGAAGTCCCTAATATTTCCTTGAAATGAGGAAACCCTCAATCTGTATCTGGGTGTTCATATTTGTTTATACTGTGATTCATTTCCCTGGAGGCTCAGATGGTAAAGAATCCATCTGCAATGTGGGAGACCTGGGTTCAATCCCTGGGTTCAGAAGATCCCCTGGAGGACGGAATGGCAACCCACTCCAGTATTCTTGCCTGGAGAATCCCCATGGACAGAGGAGCCTAACGGGCTACAGTCTGTGGGGTCGCAAAGAGTCGGACACGACTGAGCAACTAAGCACAATACAACATGCTTCATTTCAATTATATTTAGCCAAATTATAAGTTTACTTGTGTTATTACATACTTTTTACTAGAATAAGGAAGTTAATTCTGAGTTTCTCTTTGTATTTATGCCTAAGTAAGGTCTTAAAGTTGAATATATAGTAAATATGGGTACTAGAGTCATCTAGCTATTACACAAAATAGTGTCTCCATGAAGAATTAATCGGCTTCTATAAAAATTTTTCTTATAACTTCAGGGCTGGACCTCAAATCTTTAAGAAAGTGCAAGTTCCTGATGCTTTACAAGTTTGAGTGCCATGCTCACTCACCTCCAGGCCTTCATATATGCTATTCCCTCTGCTGAAACAACTTTCCTGTCTAACTCATTATTCAAGTCTCAGCTAAGATGCATTTTTTCCTTCTCTTGATCCCCAAGTATCAAACACTTCTTTTAAATGTCCCAATAGAGATAACTCTGAGCTTCCTCTAACACACCTGTATTGCAATCACCTGTTTGTATCAGGTGTATGAGCTCCAAGAGAGCAGGGATCATGTCAAAAACGTTCACCACTCTAATATGAGCAACTGGCATATAGTATCTACTCAAGATTATACTTGAGTAGCATATACTACAAGTATACCACATCAAGACTGGATGACTTAGTCACTGAGTCATGTCCGACTCTTGCAACCCCATAGACTGGAGCCCTCCAGGCTCCTCTGTCTGTGGGATTCCCCAGGCAAGGATACTCAAGTGGGTTGCCATTTCCATCTCCAGGGGATCTTCCCAATCCAGGGGTCAAACCTGCATCTCCTGCGTTGGCAGGCAGTCTTCTGCATTACAAGCAGATTCTTTACGGCTGAGACACTAGGGAAGCACATAAAAGACTGAACAGAAAATGCTGTAAGAATATCTAATTATGATTAGGATCTGGCATATCCTATTAAATTGGAATCAAATACTGATAACAGCATATATACTTAAACAACAAAACCCAGAAAGATGCTCTTCATGTCAGTTAGTCCACTCCATTTATGGACTTGGTAGAGATGGAGTTTGGGGGCGGCGAAGAGTTTATGAATGCAGGAGTTCCCTGGTGGCCTAGTAGTTAGGATTGTGGGCTTTCACTGCCATTCAATCCCTGCTGGGGGAACTGAGATTCTGTAGGAGGGTGCTGTGGTCAAAGGAATAAAAAAGAACTTATGAGTGAATGTCAATACAGATTAAAGAATAGCAGGAAAACCAAATCAGGTTGTCCAGACATATGTGATCATCAGATACGCATACAAATATGTTTTAGAATAGCATTATATACATTACCTCGGAATCTGTTTTCAGTTGTGTGATATGTAATTTCCTCCTCTGATTTGCTTTTTTATCTTGAACAATAATTTCACGCCAATTTCTGCTCACTTTCCAAACACTGTAACAAAAAGATCAGTCCTTGTATATATGTATACAAGTTCATGTATATATGCCACAGAATTAGCATTTTTTACACACGGCAATAAGAGAAACTTGTTTTTAAAGATTTTGGATAGTTAATTTAAAGCTAAAATTTCACATTAAAAATATGACTCGATTTGCATAGCTGTGAAAGAAGACCTATTAAAATATATCAGCATCATATTGATAGGTTACTATCTTATAAATGGTTAAGGAAATAAAACAAAGTTTCATATAAACCCAAATGAGTCCACTGGGAGACTGATTAAGAGGATTTAACTTATATGTAACACTAATATTTAAAACTTAGAACATGACATGCCACAAATGATCATCAGCTATACTGCAAGAGTTTATATAAATTTCTCCTACTATTGTATTTAACAAATATCTGTCATTTTGAGTAAATAAACACAAAAACAATCAATCCTGTATTAGAACTTCTAAATGCCAGATACAGTTGATCTCTGAACAACATCAGTATTCTGGCATGGAAAATCACATGGACAGAGGAGTGTGGTGGGCTACAGTCCATTGGGTTGCAAAGAGTCAGACACAACTGAGTGACTAAGCACATAGCCGAACAACATGGGTTTGAACTCTGTGGGTCCACTTACATGTGGATTTTTTTCCATGGTAAATACTATACAGTCCCTGGTCAGTTGAATCCAGGGATGCTGAACCATGGATACAGAGGAAACTCAGATGTGGAAAGCTGACTATAATTTATACAAAGATTTTAGGCTGCACACCAGAGGGTCAGCGCCCCTATTTTCTGGTTGTCCAAGGGTCAGCTATAATAAATAGTATTATGAGGAGCACTACAAAGTTCCTATTTTGTAAACCAAAGTTTATGAGAACAAAGCAGCTAAATAAAAAAACATAATTTATGTCCAGTGAGTGCTTATTTATCAATAAAAGTGAATGAGGTTAGGAGAAGGTTATGGAGGGCCCCATGTTACACCTGAGTTGTCAACACTACTATTCTTCTAGCCACCTCGGTTGCCATTGCCTCTCTCTAAGCTGACATAGGCACCTTGTATCAGATGGAGAGGAACAGGCAGAAAGTCACTCATTAATGGAGAAGAAATGAACTATCAATGCATAGTTGGGTGTTTGCCTCAGCTATTTCAACTGAGTCCAGTCTCTCATATTTCCAAGAATAAGCACTGCCAAGTTACACATGCACTCTGCAGTGCAAATACTAGAAATCTTGAGGGATGAGCAGGGAAGGCAATTATTGCAATATGTACTTTCACTTACATATCAGTATGACTGAATATCATTTGTCCCACAAGCGAGCACCCAAAAGGGTCACCCAAGTTTTAACTGGTCTGTATCCAAATACTCTATCGTGTAAAAACAAAATCCCTATATCATAGCCATATCCCTAATTTTTTAAACAGAATTTATCTCACTTGAACATTTTTTAAGGCATAGACATATAGGTCATTAATCTTTCTTATTATCCTACTTGGGTTACACCAAAGACATTCCTGATCAAGACTATGCTGAAAGGACTGAAACAAGAGTTTGGGGGGAAATATGGGCTTAGAAATCAGAGGGTTCAGTTACAGACCTGCATCCATTCCTATCTCCTTGAGTGACTGCTGGCAGGTCACTTAACTTCTCTAGAGCTCAGTTTTCTCATCTGCAAATACGTGACAGGACTAGACATTTCAGAAGACTTCCAGCTATGAAATTCTACAATTCTGTATAATAGCCTACACTTAGTTTATGGGGGAAAGGTAAAGAAGGGTCTCAATAGAAGTAGGGGCCAGAAAAGAGTAAGGATTCAATGGACCAAACTCTTGACATATACCTATGGAAAAAGAAACTGACTCTTTTGCTTGTCCTGCCTCAACCATAACCTTGCAGAAATCCTGTTCCACATGGCTTCTCTCGTTCCTGGTTCTGGCATACCGATGGGGCTTGTCTTCTGATAGTTCTGCACTTTACAAAACTGCCAGTATAAAGTCTCAATTTAGCCTTATAACTAATTCCTACCCACAATACTTCTATATATGTGACTCAGTTTCTACTTACTTATGAAGCAGCATTCAAGATACTGAAATTTCTGACACTGAAGAATTTCACTTAACCATCTTTGATAAAATGTAAAAGTAACCAAGACAGAGATAATAAAACAAAATTTTAAAAAGCTACAAACAGAAAAGTTTTCCACCTTAAAAAAAAAAGTGATAAAAGGCAGTTTTATTTCAGAAGAAAAAAAAAATCTTACCTACATAGGCTTTCTGCAGTCAAGGAATCTAAAACCATAGCAAGAACATGCTTTAGATTTCTGTATTTTAATTCTGTTAAGATGTCCAGTTTTTCTATACCCATTTTCTTGCCAATCAGTCCTGCGAGTACACACTTTAGTACAGCTATTTTCCCCCCGTCCCTTTCTTCTAACAACTCATGTGCACCGTTTTGCTGGAATCTCTTCCTTTTGCTTTTCATAAAAAGCTCATGCACTAATTGCAAGGCTGGGGTCTTCGATAAATTCTTAAAGCTTAAATCCTCACACTTATTGTCACTGCTCGGCTGGCTCTCTGAAATGTCTGAAGCGGTTGCTGGTGTTGATTCAGAGCTAGAGAGGTAGGTCTGGTTTTCTTCTTCTGTCTCAGATTGTGAGCCTTGCTCCCGAAGGGTGGACAGTCTTCTCAGTCTTCCAAGACGCCTTGACTTTTTTATGGTGTCCCTGACTTTGAGAGTTCCCTTATGTTCTTGGAAAGAGCCCTCTTGCTCAGATAGGGAATCTTCTGATTTATCCAAGCAAAGTGAGCTGAAACCGCTGTCTTCAGGGGTCGAAATATTGCGTCTCACTCCAGCTGAAGGAGAAAATCTTCGGCTTGCATTAAATTTAACACTTGGTACGAGATTACTGATTGGAGTCACAAATATGTCCTCATCTGTTCTACAGCTTGTTCCACCAACAGAAAAGCCCAGAAGTTCGGGATATGTATTCTCATTATTAATACATAGACTGCTGTCACTAAAGTCATGTGTGATAGAGTCTTTAAAATTACTGCCCTGAATTGGAGATATACATTCAACTTCAAAGAGGCCACAGTCATCTTTGGAATCATCCACTGTGGAAGTCTTCTGTTGAGAAAAATTAAGTCTCAATTTTTGACTGCTGGAAGTTACTTCTTCTGTTCTCAAAGTGCTAGTAACTGAAGAACTAAAATTATCTTGCCTTGGAAAGCCTGAAGCACTGCTTGGAAAATTTTTTTCTAAATTGGGAACTTGACTTGTACTACTTTCGAGGGAACTGTTCTGTGATTCAAAGTCCCTGTCTAGAAGAGAGAAAGATATGTCCAATCTTCTGCGCAGCAAATGCTTTTTTCCACTGACTTTAGGAGTTTCACAAAGTTCTGGGGTTTTATCATTTTCCTTCCTGAGGAAGACAAACCTCTTTCTTTGAGTGGGAGACTCTAAACTATGGGTTAAGGCCAAACTTGAAGTTTCAGGATGTTCATGGATCAATGCTGAGCCTCTTTCTTTCTTTCCAAATAATTCTTTATCTGTATTATCAAAGCTGCACGATTTTAACAGCTCACTGTAGCCACTATCTTGAAAAGAAGATGTGGAATAAAGGTCTCCAAAGCTGGAGGACTTGACCCTGACAACAGGAGAGTCCACCTCATTTCCGGCTCCAGCGCCGGCTTGACCTGAATGCCTTTCTGACATCTTCAAAATCTCTGCTTCTACAAAGTGAAAACAAATGTTATTCTTCCTTTGAAATTAATAGTCTGGAAGCTAATACCAAAATACTCATTATGAGCACAGATGATTATGGAAAATTGCACGGCAATAAAAAAAAGTTACTTTAAGAAACAAATCTCTGCAATATACTCATGTGTATCTTACTTAAGACAGTGTTTCAACATCATAAAAACCAAAATTTCCAGGATATAAATATTTACAGATTACCTGACTAAGCATAGTCTAGGCACTGTGCACAGATATTTTCATTAACTACACTTAAGGGAAAAAAAATCTCATAGCATAATTTTTAGATGATTGTATTACCTTATAATTTTTATAGCACTAAAGTACATTATTGTAGTTCTAACATTCTAGCTTATTTGTGCTGGCCTATATTTAGTCAGGTGGATATTTCCTTTCAGAGTTCTGCAGTGTAATAAAGATGCTTAAAAAAAAAACTATATGCTGATTTTGACCACTGGTCAAGTGAGTGCAGCCACTAGGATAAACTGCAATTCAGCAAAGCAACTCTAGATTAATGTTACTCATATTCATAACATGGGCTTGTCTCAGAAACCTGGTCTTTCTAACCATTGACAAGGTCTGAATTCCAAGGCTTTCGCCTTTGCAAAGTCTCTTTAGCTCACTGAATAATTAGTAACATATTCTTGAGCTAACCAAATTGAACCAAAGCCCTACAGGCCATCTCAAACCTGGAAGGTTATACTCTTTCATGTCTCATCTGGTAAATATTTTCTACTCGGGAACCCACCCTTTATAATATTCTTAAATTGAAAATAAAGAATTTAAGTACATTACTTAGAGAAGAAATGTGATTCAGTATTATATTTGTAAGAAAGGACACTAGGAAACATTTCACTTTTTTTAAGGAAATACTTGACTCTTTAACCTTTTCAACAGTATCACTGCATTCCTTCTTTTTAGAAACTTGAATTAAATCTTAAACTTTTTAGAAACTTGAATTAAATCTTAAAGTATAAGAAAGTTATTTCTCCAGATTATTCAAAGGACACTAAGAAAACTATCATTCTTTTAAAGTTTTCTCCAGACCGAATAAGTGATTCTTCTCTATTAAAAAGATCCTGGGAAGATATATTGTTAGTTGAGTATAATGGGAAAGTTACTTACACCTAAGTTCTATCAGTTCAACATGTAAGTGAATAAGTTTTTTTTTTTAATTGCTATTCTAACCAAAAAACCAAATTGTTTCTTTGTGGTGCAATGACCATTATTACTGGGCAAAGTAAGTGTTTTTCAACTTTTAAAACCTATATTCTGTTTTGGTAAATCTCACACATGTTCTCTTCTGATTTAGATTTCCTCAGATTGTGACAATCAACTGATCTCTTCTGGACCTGCTTACTAGCCAAGATGATCAAATTTTGCTTTCTGTATTTCATACTTTAAAACAATTTTTTGTTTTCAAATTACACCTCCACACACGAATGTCTCCCACGCTCCGAAAATAATTTTATTAAGTAATAGTTTTCTCTCATGTCATTTGGTAAAGTTAGGTCCGAGCCTTTTTAAAACTTTTAAAAAATAAAACAAATGTTAATTATTCTTCTACTTCACCACTAGGTGTCTCACGATGTTCGAATTTGGGAACCTGAGAGGCAAATGGATGGAAACAAAAGCAGGGATGCAAATATAGGTCCCCGCTAAAAACCATAGACCACTTGCTTTAAACATACAAAAAACTTCCGATTTTCCTTCTGTTCATCTACCCATTTGAAATTGCTTCCACCGTGCTTTCTCTAGTGTCATTTTTTTTTCATCTTTCATCACTTTCAACCCAAGATACTAGTCTCAAAAAGTGGTTTTTCAAACTTCAAAAGTATTTATGCAAAATCGTAGAATGCCGGTTGACTTGCTCAGTTTCACTGATTCAACAGTTCACTGATGAAACAAACAAGCCTCTTCAACATCCATTTTTTAAAACCAAGCTCCTGATAAGGATTAAGAACACACATCTCTATAGTGCTTTAAAAAAAACCACTGGCTAACTCAATGAAGTATTTAAAGTAATTAAAGTACTTAAAACCGAATTTCCTTATTTGTTAAAGTGCAACATCTTACCATCAGTAAATCTTGAGTTCTTAGACGCCAACGTTAGTTACCGTAGGCTTCCGATAAAGGAAATTTCTCACTTTGCCTTTAAAATTCACGCCAAAGAAATACCACTTAAAGAGACAACTAATTTTGAACAATTAATGGAAACGTGCAGTAGCAGCACGATGCCCGCTAAAATTTGAAGGATACCTCAAGTACTTGCTACTGGGATTATTTTCTAACGCTTTAAAAGACCTAAATCACTTTGAATTCCCCCCAGCTTTCCAGACAACAGCAATTGTCATATCTCTGTGTGCTCCAGCTAGTCTCGGGACGGAGGAAAACGGCCCCAATTCGGCTCTCTGACCACGCAGGGTCAGCTGCAGCGCGGTCGTCTCCCGCCCGAGGTGCCGGCGGCGGGTGGCTGGTTAACGGTCTCCCCGGGGGGCGTCAACCAGGCCGCTCGCCCGTCCGCGGGCCCTCCCCAGGCCGGGCTGGCGGAGGGAGGCCGGGGCGGCCCCAGGGCCCCAGGAAGCCGCCGACCGGCCGAGGACGGGCGGGCGTCGCCTGGACCCAGAGCGAGAGGGAGGCGAACCGCGTCGGGGCTGAGAGGGCGCGGGGCTGGGGACGCCCAGAGGCCGGCCGCCCTCACACACCTGGCGTCCCCGCTCCCGCCCACCTGGGGGCCCCGGGGCTGCCGCACCCACCGCGCCGACTCGCCGGGCGGGGATCTGTGGGCCGCAGCCGCCCGAGTGCCGCCGAGGAGCCGCGGCCTCGTCCCCAGGGATGCTCGGCTATGGCAACCTCCACGCCGGGTCCGCGTGGGGCCGCCGCCTTTTCCCTCCTTCGGTTTGAACTGCCCGCCCTGAGTAACCGCCCCGCCCCGCGCCGCGCCGCGCCGCCCCTTCCTCCCGCCCACCGCCGCCCAGCAACCCCGCAGACCCCCGGGCCCCGCCTGCGCAGTGATCTCCGTCTCGGCTTTCCCGCCCTCCGCGCCCCCACCGCACCGAGGCACCCGCGTGCGTGCTCAACCGCTTCAGTTGTGTCATACTCACTGCGACACGTGGTCTGTAGCCCGCCAGGCTCCTCCGTCCATGGCATTTTCCAGACGAGAACACTGGAGTGGGTTGCCATTTCCTCCTCCAGGGGATCTTCCAGACCCAGGGATCGAACCCTCGTCTCCTAAGTCTCCTGCATTGGCAGGCGGGTTCTTTACCACTGAGTGAGTGGAAATCGCTCAGTCGTGTCCGACTCTTTGCAACCCCATGGACTATACAGACCATGGAATTCTCCAGGCCAGAATACTTGAGTGGGTAGCCTTTCCCTTCTCCAGGGGATCTTCCCAACCCAGGGATCGAACCTAGATCTCCCGCATTGCGGGCGGTTTCTTTACCAGCTGAGCCACAAGGGAAGCCCTCTTCACCACTAGCGCCACCTGGAAAGCCGCTCTGAGGCACCTTAGGGCTTTTTAATTTGATAAGCTCTTTCTCCCGCCCTCCCGCCCCCCACGCACCACCCCCACCACCCCCACCTCCGTCTTAACTTCGGACAACACACAACAGGTCCTAGGCGCCGTGCGTGCTAGGTTGCTTTAGTCGTGCCCGACTCTTTGCGACCCTATGGACTGACTGTAGCCCCCGGGGCGCCTCTGTCCAAGGGGTTCCCCACCCAGGGATCGAACTGGCATCTCATGTCTCCTGCACTGGCAGGCGGATTCTTTACCGCTAGCGCCGTCTGAGAAATCCAATAGGTCCTACTGTGGGATGCCATTAAAAATAATGTATGAGAACGTTCACTTGATGTTTCCGAATTTGAACTGAAGCGTGAAAAGCAGGTTACAAACCGAATGCCATCCTTTAGAAGTACAGCTATACACAGGATAAGATCTGAAAGGTATGACTAATTTCGTTACAGCATCTGTAGACTAGATTATACTTGGTTACTTTTTTTTAAGACCTCTAAAAAGGGATATTTTATGTGCCAGGCTCCATCCTCTGCTCTTGGCAGTTTCTTCCTAATCTCTCTCTCTTTTTTTTCTGTCTTCTTTTCCTCTGTTTAATGGGGCATTGTACACAACATTTTTCTTACTTTACCATTCTGTGCTTATACAATTCGGATTAGGAGTTAAAAGCATTACTTTAAAGTCAATTACAGTCACTGCTACCACTCTCCTCGGACAGAACTTCTTCATCTGGATGCCCTTTAGATATTCTAAATGTCAGGTATCCAAAAATCAAACTCACTAACAATTATTAAGCTGTGACTATGTGCCAAAAGCCTTCAACTGTGTGGACCACAATTAACTGGAAAATTCTGAAGGAGATGGGAATACCAGACCACCTGACCTGCCTCTTGAGAAACCTGTATGCAGGTCAGGAAGCAACAGTTAGAACTGGGCATGGAACAGCAGACTGGTTCCAAATAGGAAAAGGAGTACATCAAGGCTGCATATTGTCACCCTGCTTATTTAACTTATATGCAGAGTACATCATGAGAAACGCTGGGCTGTAAGAAGCACAGCTGGAATCAAGATTGCTAAGAGAAAGATCAATAACCTCAGATATGCAGATGACACCACCCTTATGGCAGAAAGTGAAGAAGAACTAAAAAGCCTCTTGATGAAAGTGAAAGAGGAGGGTGAAAAAGTTGGCTTAAAGCTCAACATTCAGAAAACTAATCATGGCATCTGGTCCCATCACCTCATGCAAATAGATGGGGAGACAGTGGAAACAGTTTCAGACTTTATTTTGGGGGGCTCCAAAATCACTGCAGATGGTGACTACAGCCATGAAAGTAAAAGACGCTTACTCCTTGGAAGGAAAGTTATGACCAACCTAGATAGCATATTAAAAAGCAGAGACATTACTTTGCCAACAAAGGTCTGTCTGGTCAAGGCTATGATTTTTCCA